TAGACAGGTGATTTTATCTAGATACAAGACCTCGGCAAACTGCGGAAAATGTTTGTAAAAGATTTCTTTTTTTCTAATAAATTAGAATAAAATTATTCTGAACATTCTATTTATTCATACTCATACGTTATTATTATTTGTTATTACACACTATTAATTAAAAAAATAATTTGAATAAAACAAAAACTTGACAAAAATCTAGAAATGAATTTGTTCATTTCTTATCAAAGTTTCTAGACAATCCTGTTTTGTTTTATGATAATTAACCTAATTTGTCAAAAACTTTCAGATATTTGGCAGATTAATAAATTGTTCAAGAATTCTCTCTCCTTATAACAAGAAATTACATTGAATTTACTTAATATTTATATCTTTAATGCAAAACCCCATTTGCATTTCAAATTTCACAAATTCCATCAGCAATAAATACTTTGAAACAAATAAATCTTTCCATAATCAAGAATAAAAATTTCCATTTCAATTCCATTATTTATGCCTTTACTATCGAGTTTATAAATGCTGTTCATTAATAATTGCAAAACAAGATTCGAGTCATAATATATTTTATAAAGATAAAAATAAGTTAACTCGATACAAAAGTAAAGAACCGTATCTGAATCGAGAGGTTATTGAAATATCACTGAAGTAATTATGAGTTTATAGGCATTCAATTTTCCTTTTGCGGATACAAATGTGTATTATGGTTTTGTAATGCATGTCTCAATTATAAATGTAATTAGAAATAAATAGATTGACCTATTAAAATTGCTGTTAGTTGTGTTTCGAAGTTACTTAGTCATTTCTTACATAGAAAAGATATGAATAGAACTTGTTTGCCCTTTCAAGTGATTACCTGTCTACTTTTGCACCTGCCAACCTCTTCACCTGTCCACCCCTTTACCTGTCTACCTGTCTACCTATTTATTTACCGGTATACTTGTCTACCAGTCAACCTGCCTACTTTTTTACTTCTCAACCTGTCTTTCTCCTTATCTACCTGTCTACCTGTATTTTCTGCTGAGATTCACAAAAGGTCTTTTCTTGGCTGTACCAAAAAGTACAGGACATCATAAAATACCAATGCATGCAAAAATATCATCAACCACACCTAGCATTATACAATATTCCTCTAAGATTGTGTACTCTCATTATTTATTTACGGTAAATAAAAACCTTGCCATGGAGGGCTTTTCTGCGATTTTGTTACCTTTCCTCGTAAATCCACTTTGAAAATAAAAATGTACACACACAATTTCACATAATATGCGAATCGAAATATGTAACATAAAACACAAAGTTCTTGAATCCGAACAACGGTTTTCATCACGTCGGATTTTCCTTCAAAAAGTCGCGTATGCTCGGGCCAGAATTTTCCAAGTTATATGAACCATACGTCATTCGGATTTTCTTTTGATGACATCGCATAGCTCAAAACGATTGGTGATATTTTCCTCTTACTGATTTTCTGGCAGAAACAAAGCGTGAACAAAAATGTGGAGAATGTTCTAGAATGCTTTTCTTTGTACGATGTCAGGAAAAATGGATTATTCTGCTTGAAAATGGTTTTCAGCTATTGCAATTTATATGGAGTAATTGTAGAGACTGACATACGAATGCGCTCATTTATATAAATAGAACTATTATATAACTATTTATTTCATCTAAATTGATTTTTTTACAAATGTACAATATTTTTTCATTAACTTTTTGGAGGAAAAATTTATGTTTTGATCAGAAATTTTGTCTTACTAATTTTATGTTTTACCACAAAAAATTAATGCAAAGTAAACATATATTTTTTGTTCAAATATTCTTCAAAATGTAGAACAGTTAGGTTAAAAAAACATACATTGTATTTTGAAGTGTAAGCATAAGCATATTTTGAAGTTGTGTTCTGTAAGCAGTTTTGAATTGTCTATAAATTTTTTTAATATTTTTGTTGTTGTATTACAATAAATTATAGCTCGTTTCTCCACATAAATTGAATTGCAATCTAGGCAGTTAATTTGATAGATGAGATTTCTTAGACGTTCGATGTCACAAAGGGTTTTTGTTTTATTAAAAATGATGTCAGTTGGCTAATTTATAAAATAGTTTATTCCAAGTAAAATATTTTTTAGTGTAAGGTAAACATATGACACCAGAGTCAGGTAATTGTTATTTTCAGTTGGATTGTTAATTTTATTTAAGGAGTAAGGTAAAGACCCAGTTATTGACCCTGGCCCAGTTTCTGACCTTTTCAACTTTTTTGGAATTAATTAAAAAACTATACATTTAATGTGAAAATAATTTTTTCTTAATTGACAGTAATTTATTCTATGCCTCATTAATGTCAATTAAAAAAATATAAAAAATATTAACTAAATAAAAAAAATTTTAAACCAAAAGTGACTGTGGAAGCCATTTTTTAGCTTTAGTCTAAACAGTTTATGTAAGGAGCTACGACAATTGAGTTCGTGCACTAATTATGATGTAAGTACGAAAATCTAACTAAAAATATACAAATAAGTCAATAATTAATTGAAATTTATTTTAAAATATTTATAAAACATATTAAATTTAGTTTTATTACTGAAATTTGAGGGTCAATAACTAGGCTAATTTTAAGTGTATGTCACAGTTGTTGACCCTGCAATTCTAACCTTCTAAAAGCTAGGTTATCTGTCACATGTTTTTAGTCACTTGTTCATTAAATGTAAAAATAATAATATTTATTGTTATCTTATATTTTTTTTACTATTTTTCGTAGTAAAGTGATAAATTTACATTTAATATTCATTGGTATAAATGAAAGATTGTATTTAAATCTTGTAAATACATCTTTTAAGTGATAAAATATTAATTATTAAGTGATAAATCATTAATCATGTCAGTTTTATCAACGCTTAAATTATGACTGTTTTAGTTTACTAATATTTTTATTATTATACAATTATACAATACAATTAATTAATGAATTAAAAAAAAAGAAGAAAAAGAATTGAAAAAAGCTGAAAGGTCCAAAAATGAAGCCATCAAGGAGGCAGAAAAAATAATTAGAAAAGAAAAACTTGAAGAAAAAAAGAAACAAAAAGCTCTTAAATAAAAAAAAAGTCCAAGTAAATTTAAATTAATATTAATTTTATTTTTTTGTTTGTGTAATATGTTATAACAAGACTTGAACTATTTATACGTTAAATTTTAACAAACTGTATATTTTTAGAATAAATATTTAATTTATTTATTCTAATAATAATTTCAGTTTATTTAAAATTAGTAAGCACTTCATAACCTAATCATGATTAATTTTGAGGGTCAGAAATTGGGCTACGGTCAGGTCAGAAACTGCCACACGAAGAATTCTGAGGGTCAGAAACTGGAGCTCTTAATGTCAATTTTTAAAACGTCAATTTAAAATATAAATTTAGTTCAAATAATTTTTTTATGCACATTACTTTATTTTAAAAATCCTAAACTAATAGATAAAATTATAATTTCCTTCATTAAGTTAAGTTTTATATTAATTATTATAGTTTAACCTCCGCCGTCACTCTAAAAAGGTCAGAAACCGGGCCCCTTACCTTACGCGAGTACGAGTTATCGGCTAGAATGTTTGAAATCAACTTGATATTTTTGTACCAAAATCTTTTTGCAGAAAAAATTATTATATATATATATATATATATATATATATATAAATATATATGCCATTATCTCCACAGATTCAATATAGCTCCACGCAAGTATATAAATTCACCACATCGAATAACGACCATTGATAGAAATTGTTCGAAAATGCTCGAAGCAGTAAAAGAAAACAAAAGACAGCACTACAATCGCAAAGACAGGTGCTTTAGTTCACATATCACAGATTCGTAGTCGGTCCAGATATCCAGGTAACAAGGATGATGATCCGAGGGCTTCTGTTCACTCTAACATCTGGTTTTGTCGTTTATTCTTATCTCCTTTCTGGTGGTCAGCATCGTAATAATTACGGGATTGCCCTTCGATCGAGCGTTGTCCGCTATTGTGAGAGAGCGCCGCCGAGTAAATGATTTCAGTTATGCTGGTTAGAGTGCTAGGAGATTTTTTTTATTGCGAGGAATAGTGGTTCCTAATCTTATA